TATGTCTTTCTCAAATCAAATCTAAACTGGGACTATCAGTCCTCCCAGACAAACATAAAGGGCTCACGTGTTAATTAATCCTGTTAGCTAACTAAAAAGAGTCAATTGTCATTTAAATCTGCTTTTCCAACCCAACTTGGAAGTGCTCTAGTAAAAAGGAAAAGAAAACAATCTCAGTTGCAATACGTGATCTAAAGAGAATGTCCTGTGCTAGGGAAGAGAATAATAGAGTCCTGGCAAGGGTCCTAAGAGGAGGTAGCATTTTTTTTTTCTTTTTATTGTGTTGGAGTCTCACTCTGTCACCCAGGCTGGGGTGCAGTGGCACGCTCACGGCTACCACAGCCTTGATCTACTGGGCTCAGGCTGTCCTTCCGCCTCAGCCTTCCAACTAGCTGGAACCACAGGCATGCGCCACCATGCCCAGCTAATTTTTTTATTTATTGTAGAGATGAGATCTCGCCAAGTTGCCCGGGCTGGTCTTGAACCCATGGACTCAGGCAGTCCTCTCATCTCGGCCTCCCAAAGTGCTGGGATTACAGGCATGAGCCACCACACCCGGCCTGGGAGGTAGCATTTAACCAGGCTCTCAGGAAGGAGCATCTGAGAGGTGTAAAGGGCTGTCAGGCAGAGGCAGGGTGACAGGAGAGCCTGCGAGACAGGGAACATTGCTGGCGAACTGGGAGGAGACTTGGGGACATGAGGGCTGGGACTTGACTCCAGGGACGTCAGAAGTCTTTGGTGGGGTTTTATGCAGGCGAGGGACAGGGTGTGTTTGCTTTTTAGGACTCTCATTCTAGAAGCTCTTTGGTGAGTGATTTGGAAGTTTGAATGAGCAGAAGTGAGGGTGGTTAGTTTGCCGTTTCCTGGACCAGGAAGAACCTGCCGAGTTCTAGAATAGACCACAGTGTTGCTAAGTGTAAGCTATGCTTTGGAAGTAATGTGTTTGGGAGTAGAATTTGATGGATTGGAGGTAAGGGATGAATAGAAGAAAGACACAAAGGACGCCTCCCCTCCTCAGTTTGTGGCTTGGGCACCTATGTGGAGGATGGCACTATTTGCTAAGACGGGAAAGACTAGTTTGGGGGCAGATACCACGTGTATATCATGTCTTCATGGAATGAGATTTCTTTCCACTAGAAACTCGCAGAGCATCAATGTGGTGAAATGTCTTCGGGGCATTCAGTGTTCATCTGAATGGTCTGCAGATTGGAAAGAAATCCCAGCTTAGATGATAGGGCATTATTAGTCTCACTAGGTTCTTAATTATGAAAATCCTAGTAGACAAATAAAATTCTTACTTTATGAAATGTGTACAATAGGAGACGAGTGGGAGTGTCACTGTGATTGGAAAAATGTACACAAAACCATTGTCTAATGTTGGGCACCTATAAATACTGTAAGCATATTTATCGAATGGAGAAACATTTAAGGAAAACACAGGCATAGCTCAGAGATATTAAGGGCTTGTTTTTAGACTCTGCAATAAAACAAACATCACAATAAAGCAAATCACACACCGTCTGGTTTCTCAGCATATAAAAGTTTCTCAGCATATAAAAGCAAATTACACACCATTTGGTTTCTCAGCATATAAAAACAAATCACACACCGTTTGGTTTCTCAGCATATAAAAATTATGTTTACACTATACTATGGTCTATTAATTATGCATGGCATTATTCCAAAAAAATCATTGTGCATGCCTTAATTAAAAATACTTTGTTGTTAAAAAATGCTAAGGTTCATTCGAGGCCTTCGGCAAGTTGTAGCCTTTTTGCAGGTGGAGGGTCATGATGATGGCTGCTGACTGATGAGGGTGGTGGTTGTTGAAGGTGAGAGTGGCCGTGACAGTTTTAGGGGAAGGCAGCAATGACGTGTGCCACCTCAGTTTACTCTTCTTCTCATAGAGGTTTCTCTGTAGCAAGTGGTACCGTCTGATAGCATTTTAGCTACAGTAGAACTTTTTGCAAAATTGCAGTCAGTTCTCTCAAACCCCGCTGCCGTTTTATCCACTGTGTTTATGATTCTAAATCCTTTGCTGACATTGCAACAAGGTTCATGGCATCTCTACCATCAGTACATTTCATCTCAGGAAACCACTGTCTTTGCGCATCATAAGAATCACCTCCTCTTCCATCCGGGCTTTTTTTTCCTCCTCCCCCCATTCAAGTTTTATCATGAGGTTGCAGCAATTCAGTCACGTCCTCAGACTCCACTTCTAAATTGTAGTTCTCGTGCTGTTTTCGCCACCACTGCAGGGACTCCCTCCACTGAGGTCTTGAACCCTCAAAAGCATCCATGAGGGTTGGAGTCAACTTTTTCAAAATGTTGACAGTTTGACCTCCTTCCATGAACCACAAATGTTCTAAATGTTCTAAGTGGCATCTAGAAGGGTGAATTCTTTCCAGAAAGTGTTTAATTTACTTTGCTTAGGTTTATCAGAGGAATCACTATCTATGAAATGCATTAGCCTTATGAAATATATTATGAATGTTGCCTTATGAAATGTATTTCTTTTTTTAGAAAGCAGGATTTGTTGCAAGGACAAAAAAAGTGGGAGGGGACCCAAGGGGGTTGCCTGAAATATATTTCTTAAATAAGACTTGGAAGTCAAATTATTTCCTTGACCCATGGGCTACAGAATGGATTTTGTGTTAGCAGACATGACACAACATTAATCTCCCAGACTTCTCCATCAGAGTTCTTGAATGACCAGGTACATTGTCAGTGAGCAGTAATATTTTGAAAGGAATCTTTGTTCTTTTTTTTAATCTCAAAAGGAAACCTGTTGAGCAGTAGGTGTCAACACTGGGCTTAAAATATTAACAACAACAGCAACAACAAAAAGCCGCTATAAATAAATGTGCTCTCATCCTGGCTGTTGTGTCATTTACAGAGAACAAACAGAGTGGATTTGGCATAATTCTTAAGAGCCTAAGGATTTTCAGAATGGTAAAGGAACACTGGCTTAACTTCAAGTCACCAACTGCATTAACTCCTGACGAGAGTCAGCCTGTCCTTTGAAGTTCTGAAGCCAGGGATTGACTTCTCTCTAGCTGTGAAGGTCCTAGATGGTATCATCTTTCAATAGAAGTCTATTTTGTCTTGACGGAAAATCTGTTGTTGAGTGGAACCACCTTCACCAATGGTGTTAGTCAGGTCTTCTGTATCACTTGCTGCAGCTTGGGGGAGGATCATTTGAGGCCAGGAGTTTGAGGCCTGCCTGGGGCGCACAGAGAGACTCTGTCTCCACAAGGAAAAAAAAATGAAGTATTAAGCGTGGACATGTAGTGTGGTTTTTTGTTCTTTGACGTGAGTGAAGTAACGGCAGTTTCTTGAGTGAATTCCTATTATCCCCATAAGAGAAGAAGAGGCTGTCTAGGCACAGAGGGTAGCAGGGCATACCTGACTGGCTGACCAAGACTTGAAGTCTGGGCCTTTGGTACTGGGTCGAAGGAATCAGAGAGACATCAGAGGCCAGAGCAGGCGAACATCAGAAGGCTGGCGTGTCAGTGGATGATGGAAGGGTTAGAGGTGTCCTAGGTCAGGCCTGCTGTGGAGCCAGGCCAGCTAGAGAAGCAGTGGGTCTCTGGGAAGAGGATAAGCAACCTCACGATCAGAGAATTGAAGGCAACAGCTTAGCTGTTGTGACCCACACAGGAAATGAGATCTGGCCACACGAGGTGACTGAAGGGTGTGGAGGTTAGATGGGGCAGTTGTCATGGTGAACACAGGTGTTGAGGGATCGGATGTCAGCTGCTGTGGGTCGAGGTGAACACCAGTGGCTACGTCAGGCACTAAGGCGAAGACCGGGCCTCTGGGCCACTGGAGATTTGGGCAGAAGCCTTTCTGTACGCTGACTCATGCTGTTGGAGGGGTCGTTGGCCTAAAGTTCTGGACTGACTCTGGGCAACACCTAGGCTTACATCAAAGCGACAGTGTCCTGTTTCTGAGCTCCAGCATTGGGAGCTTTATCAAATGGAGCCATACTGTACCATTCAGAATGATGCCAGCTAAGGTCAAGGTGAAGGACTTGGACCAAGTCCAGCATCTATAACAATAGCTGGTATTTACTCAGCACTCATGGTGTTAGGCACTGTTCTAAGTGAATTACACATACTTAGGTATTTCTCCCAGAAACCCATTGGGGGTTGGGCATTGGCGCGTAGAGATTCTATTTGAGTACAAAGATAGCAGGAAGGACTTGACACGATGTGTTTAGGGATGGGTTTCTGCTATTCTCCAAACTCCAGCAGTTCTGGGCACTAAAGTTTGTCTTTGGTCTTCTTATTTTTTTATGGTCCAGGGCCATTTGCTGTTGATGGCATATTTACCACGTGCCACTAGTCGTATGCGATTTTTTATGACCTAGGTTCCTAATATCTGTCTAGTGTGTCACTCTCACCTTGGCTGGCCCCTTTGCTGAGTGTCCATAGCTTTTATAGTCTGTGCACATACAGTCACTAGATTGTATTCTTCTTCTTTTTTATATTGGTTATTTATTTAGTCCGGATCTCACTCTCTTGCCCAGGCTGGAGGTACTGTCACCTCTCACAGCAGGTTCACATTCCTGGGCTCAGGTGATCCTCCTACCTCAGCCTTCAGAATAGCTGGGATTACAGGTGCGCACCACCTCACCCAGCTGATTTTAAAATTTTGTTTGTACTGACACAGTCTCGCTGTGTCTTGAACTCCTGGGTGCAAGTAGTCTTCCTGCCTTGGCCTCCCAAAGTGCTGGGAGTATAGGCATGAGTCACTGCGCCCAGCATAGACTTATTTTTCCTTAACTGTTTAATGTATGTAAAGTTTGTCCCAGCAATAAGCTTTTTTGGTCTGCATTGCTTTGTGTCTTTTGCAGCATTGTTGCCAATAATCCAGTAAATTCACATAACGTAGTCTGTGCTTTTGTACCTTCGTTTTAGTTAAGTTGTCATCAACTGTTAAGAAACTAGTTGTTTTTATGTATTTTATAATGTGTGCAATTATTTTTTATTTTCACAGGGCAAACCCAGAAAATGAATCTTTTCCAGTCAATAACGAGTGCCTTGGATAACTCATTGGCTAAAGATCCTACTGCAGGTAAACTTGGTGCTGTATGAATTCTAGACTGTGTGAATTCTAGCTATATGAATTCTAGACTGGAAGACTTGCTTGAAATGTATGTGTGGAGCTCAATGTTTAACATGTCTGCCTAACTTTTTAAAAGACCGGTCAAGTGAGTAAGGCTCAATAATCACATTGCAATCTTAACACATTTTACCAATCTGTGTTATTACGAAGTAGTTCTCATGTATATATAACACCATGAAGTCAACTTTCTCCCATAGTATGTGTGGTCCTGTTACAGTATTAATACATTCTAGATTAACACCTACTATGTATTCCTGTTTCTCTAGCATAAAGAAAAAACAAAATATCACCTTATTCAGCCACCTGTTTATAAAAAGAAGACTTCATACTTTTCTTTGGGATACATTGTTATTCAACTTGTAAATCTTTTTGGAAATAATTTTAATATATTATATATAATTTTATAAGTAACTGAATCTTCACTTTATTAAATTATTGGTATAAAGCAATTGTTCTTCCATTATTTTCTAAATTTGGCTTTACTTTATATACATATATAGATACACATATAGGAATATTACGTATAGGCATGTCTATATATAATATAAAATATATTTACTATACTTTGGGCTTCTACTTGAGAAGATGTAGGGGTTTTTTTGGGGGGGGTTGGGGTCTCACTGTGTTCCTCAGACAGGAGTGCAGTGGCTCAATCATGGCTCACCACAACCTCAACATCCTGAGTAGCTGGGACTACATGCCCAGCTAATTTTTTGATTTTTCTGTAGAGACGAGGCCTCCCTATGTTGCCCATGCTGGACTTGAACTCCTGGGCTCAAGCACTTCTCCTGTCTCAGCCTCTCCAAATGCTGAGATTACAGGCACAAACCACTGCACCCAGAACTGGCCTAGAGGGCGATTAGACTTTGTTCTGAATGCTGTCTGGAAATGTTTGAACTTGAAGAGTAATTTCGGACTCAGAGCAGGATGAGTTATTTTCTTGAGGTCCACAGGTTAGGACGGAGTTCAGCTCTGTGAAGACCCTGTTGTATTTTCCTTGCCTTACTGTAATGCCCCTCACTGTTTCCACTTGCACTGTTTCTTACCATGCTCACTATGTCCTACCACTGACCTCCTTTCTGCTTCCGACACCTGAAGTCCCTTTCTTGTTGGTAACCGTCCCCTTAGCTTGGAGAGCTCTTCCTTCAGCTCTCCTGATGGCTGATGCTACCGTTGACTGTGTCTAAGGAAAGACCATCGGCCTGGGGACCTGAGCTGAGTCATGGCTTGGCCCGTAGCTTTATGACTTGGCCACTTCTCTGGCCTCATTTCTCCATGGGTACAAGATGAGATTCTAGATCAGTGGTTCTTTCTCAGCAGGGGGTTATTTTAATCGCCCCCAGCTGCCCTTATATTTCACAATGTAAGTGGGGACACTTGGGCTCTCACAGCTGTGTGGGGTGACTCAGCCAGGGGTGGGGACCAGGGAAACCGCTGCACATTGACAGCACACAGGAGAGGCCCCATCATGTCAGTGCAGAAGCTGAGAAGCTTTTACCTCGACCTGTGGCCCACTTGTCATTTACTATTGAAGATGTCAACTTTTAGACTACTTGTTTCTCTGTGTTATTTAGGAATCATTAAATACAATGTGTTCTTTAAATGTTGCTTTTCAGTAATATTTGGCGAAGATGTTGCCTTTGGTGGAGTCTTTAGATGCACGGTGGGCTTGCGAGACAAATATGGTAAGTTCGTGGCTATAAGCACAGCGTTCCTGCAGAACTTTTGCCTACAGGTTTTGAAAACACAAACTAAGCCTGTTAAATTGTCTGCCCTCTCCTCATTCGATGGATAGGTTCCTCTTCGTTTCTGTTGTCACCTGCAGAATCCTCTGGCCTAGATTTCTCCAAAGGGGTTGTGTAATGCTTGTATTGCTCTGACCTAGTTCACATTACATGTACTGTAGATTTCAAAATAATCTGGTAAATGTCTTGTTTACTGTGCCGTTCATCTGCCCACAAACCTTTGGTATCTTATTGTTGCCTGCCTTAGCCTAATTCAGTTCTGTTGCCTCCAGTCAAGACTCTGCCAGGTGGTCTCTGTTAATGGGATTTTATCTCTTCGGGGAGAGAGGAGTTTATTTTTCAGGTGATTGTGGAGGCTGGCAAGTCCACGGGGCAAGCTGGTTGACTGGCAACTCGGGCAGGGTTTCTGTGTTTCATTTTGAGACTGAATGTCGTGTGTGTGTGTGTGTGTGTGTGTGTCGGGGTCTCACTCTGTCACCCAGGCTGGAGTGCAGTGGCATGCTCACAGTCACCGCAGCCTCGACCTGCTGGGCTCCGGCGATCCTTCCACCTCAGCCTTCCCTTAGCTGGAACGACAGGCACGTGCTTACCACGCCTGGCTAATTTTTGATATATTGTAGAGACGAGGTCTTGCCAAGTTGTCCAGACTGGTCTTGAACCCCTGAGCTCAGGCAATCCTCTTGCCTCTGCCTTCCAAAATGCTGGGATTACAGGCTTGAGCCACTAGGCTCGGGAAACCTCAGTCTTTTCTTTTAAGGCCTTAGATTGATTGGATGAAGCCAACCCACATTGTGATAATCTGCTTTACTCGATTTAAATGTTAATCACATCTAAAAAAATTCCTTCACAGCAACTTCTAGACCTGTGTTTGACCAAATAACTGGGCACCGTAGCCTGGCCAGGTTGACATATAATGATATATAATAATCACCCTTCCTACTTGTTTTATCTCAGCTAGTCTGTCTTTCACCTGGACTGTGATTAATTTCTGCCTGTTGCTTTTAAGTTCATTTGACTCAGAATCATCAGAGTGCATTTTGGCTCATCTTTGAATTCCCATTTTCTGACTCGCTATGTAAGGGATGTGTTTTGACCCCTCACTGTTAGGGATGTCTCCTACATGCTTTTGACATTTTTTTTCTTCTTTCAGTCTTATCTGACCTAGACGTAGGCAAAACAGTTAAGTTTAGAGCTAGGACAAGTTGATGTCTCCCTGTCTTTCCACTGCCCTGTAAGGCTCATGTGTTTATGCGGGGTAAAAGGTGAGGGTCTTTAAGATTTTTTTTTAACTTGTCTTTTTTTCTGTTCCATTGTCTCTGACGTCATTTTATATGTGAGTTCAAGAAACCATACATATTCTATCTCACTTGTTAGGAACTCACAGCTAATTCTTTTATTTGCCATCTGTAGCAGGTTGAGTTTCTGGGTCCAGTCCCTCTGCTTTCTCCCAGTTGTCTGTTTCTAACACCTGCTTAGACTTTGAGGTGGTTGGGTAAAAGATGATCTTTTCTGCTCATTTAGACTCCTACAAACTTACGACCTTTAATAAGCACTTAAAAATCTTTGTGATTTGAATTCAAAAGTAGTGTACATACATCATAGGAAATTTGTAAAAGCATAAAGAAGAAAATAAAAATGGCTCATATTTTCAGAGATAACCTAGCAATAACGGGTATACATTTCTTGGCGTATATGCTTCTAGACTGAGTCCGTCTGTGTAGGTTAACTAAGATTTCAGATGTAGAATTTCACTTCTGTCACACAGTCTTTTCTGGGCTGGGTGTCGCTGTGCCTTGGTATTCCACCTTGCCTGGCCACATGTGGTGGTGTGCCATGTGCTTGTCCCGGCTGGTGTCCTCTTGGTTTCTCCCAGTTCTTGTCCACAGCACTCTTCTCACTGTGCCCATCCTGTGGCTCACACGCCCATTACTTCTGGATTTCTATCTCTGGTGCGGACCTGTGTCCTGAGCTCCAGGGCTGTGTATGTCATATCCCCTGGCACGCTCTACCTTGATGTCCCGCTGAAAGTCAATATCACGGAAGCACCGTTCATCGGACCCACCTGGCAAATCTGTGCCCCCGCCGCATTTCCTGCTGCGAATGTGTCGCCCTCCATTCCATTTCCTAAGCCAGAAACGGAGAGATCCTAGCGTCTTCCTTCTTCCTCACTCCCTGCATCCAGTCAGGTCTGCCATTGCATCGCCACAGTTGACCTGTGGTCTAGCCCTGCCTTTCCTTTCTTATTGCCCTGGCACTTGAGATCTTTCATTTTCTCGGTGTGCGCAGTTTCAGTTCTTTTCTTAGTCTTACCTTTCTTTACTCTCCCCTCCCTCCAGTCCTTGTTCTACCTTGTTGCCTCGAGATCCTTCTAAAATGTACATTTCTCAGCAGGATATGTAAAAGAGATCCACCTAGGTGGCACCTGATGTCATCCCCTTTACTTTTTCACTAATGAGGCGTTCCTGGCTGCGTCCCCAAGCCCCCTGTTGTTTCCCATCTCTCTTCCTCTGCACGTGCTATCTGCATCTCTCTCCCCATCTGGGTCCCTGGCAGGCTCCTCGCTTTCTCCTCTGAAACTCTCCCGGACGCTCCAAGCAGAATCAGCCACTTCTTTTTCACTGTTCACACTGCGACTTTGAACCTTGCAGGTCATATTGTGATTGTTTGCCTGCCGTCTCTCCTCTCCAGACAGCTTGCCAAAGGCTATAGACCTTTAAGTTATCTATGCACCCCCAGTACCCTAGTACCCTATCAGACAGTATGAGGGGGTGGAAAACTGGAATTATTTTTTGGTGGGCAGTTCTCTTCAATACAGGCTTCGCCATCTAGGTAAGTGTTCTAGGAATCCATCAACATCTGTACCAGCTAGTGATATTGTGAGAGTCTGCGTTCAGCTTCAGTGATTTTTTTTAGAGATTCTTTCATCGTGTTTGTCCATTTCATGATGGATGATTTACAAGCACACCTGTCCATACTGCACTGAGTGTTTGGCAGTTTTTGACCAAAAACAGCATGACCCCCATGCCTCACTCTCCCTGTTCTTGTAATCTCACCCTGTGTAACTGTTTTTTGTTTCCTTGGATAAAAAAAGTCCAAAGGGAAACGATTGGCTGATGTGGAAGAGGTAAAACAAAAAACAGCAGAAACACTGAAAGGCATCAAAACTGGCAAGTTTGAAAACTGTTGTGAGCAATGGAAAAAGCTCTTGATAAGTATATTGCATCAAACAGAGTCCTTTGAAGGTGACTGAAGTTTAAACATGTAAGGATAAATACACAATATTTTATAAATAAGCTCCATTTTTTTTCTGGGTTCCCCTTGTATTTATTAAGTGACTGTTGATGAGTGAATTTATTCTTGTTCTCACGAGAACAGCAGCCTGTCTCAGAAAGGGTATCTTCTTATTTTTCTTTAACTACTTACTTGTTAGTCTGATTTTTTTTCTTAAAAATAGGATAAGGCAGGGAGAAACTGATTCTTACTTGAAAAAATCTAGCACTCTTAGAGAGCACCTGCTGATTTATGTCTGCATGGCAGAGGGCTGAGCTAATTAATGGCCAATTAATTAGCTCTTTTGGCTTTATTGTCAGTACCTGTCGCGCATTTTTACGACAATTTTAGGACTATGAATTTATAGTTTTTAATGATTCCAGGTTGGTGTTGGACAAGACAAACAAGTCACTGCTACTCTTTCACGAGAGTATCTGTTTTTAGAAGTGAAGAATATAGAAAATCATGAAGAGAAACATGTATTGCAATAAATTTTCTTGACTATTAAAAAAAAATCACAGTTAAAAAAATTCCTTGCCCTTTTTGAGTAGAGACCAGATATCTTTAGCTATATAGAAACATGTCTGCTTAGCATTCTTTTTTTTGGTGTTAAAGTAGTTTGTATTTAGAATAACTAAAAGATCATGCCAACAGTTTACGGTAACAATCAGGCCCTCATGTTGCATTGAATGACTTAGCAAAGAAAGCCCCTTGCAAGGGACCAGCTCGTTTTCTGGGACTTTCGGCGTGTTGAGTGGGATGGATCACCGTCAGCAGGTGGCAGCCTACACTTTGAAATGAGACCATCCTGTTGGCTCTGTACCCGTCCTCTGTAACGGCTGCGAGCATTTATATTCCATCAGAAGGCAGAATTTGAAGGATTGTGAGTTCCTGACATGCTGCTGCAAAGCCGAATGCTACTTCCTAGGAAAGGGAAGGAATTGTGTAATAAGAGACAGTGCTGTTAATAAAAGGGAGAGCCGTTTTGCATTTGAGATGATCCAGATGAGGGTAGCGCCACTAAACTGCTGCTCTCTGCTCTCGGCCTTCCCTGTCCCTTGACAGAATAAAATAACTTGAATGCTTTGGAAATGAAAAGAAACAGACTAGCATATCTTCCTCAACACATTGCACACCACACGACAGCTTTAGCCTCTTGAGGCAACGAGATCTATGGATCGGAAACGATGGTTGGAACTAGTGGAATTCTAGGGAAGCCGGGATTGGAGAAGGCAGTTCAAGGTAGTTGATCTGTAGGGTATGTGGGATTTTATGTTGGCTATCACACACGCTTTCGCAGTGGAAGTAATGAGACAGAGTCCACGTGTCATATACAACATTCACCTCCTTACTGTCATTCTCTGTAAGAGAGAGAATGTGTATGTGTTTTATTCAAATAAGATTTTGGTGGGTCAGGTTCAAAGTATGCTTTTGTTTAACACTGTTATGTACTGATAGAAATACTGCCCGGCTGTGGTTCTTAGACTATATTTGGCCCACTTATTGGAGGAGACTTGGGTGAGGAAGGAATAGCCGAGGAATTGCTGAATGAGTTTATGGGCCCACACATCTGCCTTTTCATGGGACTTGATGTTTTTCCATTACTGTATTCATTCCTTTTCTCCACAAGTGTGGCCTGTCATAGCCGCTTGGGAAAACTAATATAACCA